CATTCCTCTTAACACCTTGTGTGGTCGGAATTCACTTGTGAGTTCTTGATACCGAAAAATCGATTGACGACAAAACATCTGTCCGTCCGTCTGTGGTGAACGCTAGCGTGGGTGAAGTTTTATTTACATAGACTGAAACAAATAACTTGTTCAAATTTCTTAGGGGATCATTAGTTACGCACGGATGTATTGATAAAATGAAACATTTTTTAGTGTCTAAAAATATACAGTTTGATGTGTAATGTTCCATCAAAGGCTTCAGAGAATATGACATTTTATGAACAATTTTGCGAATATTGGTACCTAAGAAATCTAGAAACCACAATATATTAGGTAATAAATTCACTGTTTGATGAGTGCCAAACAGATTTAAAAAGTGAGGGTTGATAGATGATCAAACAATGATAATTTTTTATCAAATAATATGATTTAGTATATGCACGTTCTCAATTATATTTACTTATAAAATAACATTCAACTGTTTATGACGGATTTTTTCAATCATGTTCGTCTAAACCAGTGCTTGCCAACTCAATGATCTGGGATGTCACAGAAATCTGCTCTCCTGCTGCAAACTGAGCCGCGGAGTAAAGAAAGTGCCCGACGCGGCGTCGGGCGCACAGTGTTACAATGATGGGCAAAGGAAGTGGTGGAAAAAGTTTTGCTTGGCAAAATTTTGTTTTTAAATGTAAATAAATTAAATAATAGAACATACTTTATAACATAACTCAGAGCAATACCCGATTCTTTATAATAACCAGAACTGTAATTCCACTTCCATTCTTCAATTTCTTCACATTTTTGAAAAATACAGTTTTAACATTTTAGAACAATACTATTTTATACAATATTGTATAATATAACGAATTTACTTCCTTTTGAAACAATAATTAATGCTAACAAATAGGTACCTTTGACGGATCACGTGGGAGAATTAGGACCCCAGGCTTGATTATTTCATGTACAGTTTTGTTTGAGAATGTCGTAAATTCTCGTGATTTTTAATCTCGTTTCTACAATTTTCAAACTGCAAAATACTTTACTCATCCCATGATTGCGATCTGTCAATTCTCAGAATTTATTTTTATCTCGCAGGTTTCTCTGTGTCGCAAAGCTGCGTAATGCACCTGTCGGTTGGATTTTAAACATACTGCAGTTCTTTCGAACACACTAACACTCATTTGCCATTGTTGCAGTATCTACAAAATTTCGTCCCAAATCAAAAGCAAATTAACGAGCCTAGATGGACTCCCTCTCATGTTGTCTGAAATATCGGCAATGGCCCACTGCGAAGACTTTCGTCACCGGCAACCGCCGCCTGTCAATCCCTTCCTCCTCCTTTACTGGCACTGCTTTTCCGAGCGACTCCTGGCGGAGAGAAAGGCTACTCCGACGTCATTACTTTTTAGTTGGCAAACACTAGTCTAAACGGATATATTTAATCATGTTCTCTGGCGTCAACTCATTTTATTGTACAGGTCAATTTTTTCATATACCTATCTAGTGATATGACGTTTCTTATTATGTTTGTACCTACAATCGAGGGAATAGAATTGACATTTAATGCTCATGAAGGTTCTATTTTGGCATTTATTTAATAAAAGTAGTAGTTGCGTTTGAAAAATTCGATGAATAATGCATAAAACCATTAACAAACATACATTGCAAAACAAAATACCTTTATTCATCCCTAAAGTAACATTTACTGGCCACAATACGCGTTTGGCATCGGCGATAAAGCTGCTGGACTGAGGCACAGAAGGTCTCTTTGGGGATCAAACGAAGCACAGATGTCACACGTTGGATGTCTGGTAAATCTGCAAATAGTATTCCCTTCAGGACTCCTTTGATGCGAGGGAACAAAAAGACGTCGGCAGGAGACGGATTAGATGAGTACAGTGAATGTGCGAGAACAGTTACACTGCATCGTTTCCAAAGGGCTGCAAACGCGCGGAAGTTTACGGATCGCGGTATGCGGGCGTGCGTAGTCAAGCGACAGACTTCACCTGTCACACCTCAATATTTGTGGGTGAACTCGTTGAATGCGCAGCATTAAGCACTTCAAAATAGCTTGATAGAACTCGTCATTGACGGTTTTGCCTTGCAGAACAAATTCGATGTGGACCACAGCCTTGCCGTCGATAAATGCAAGTGAGGGTCTTTATTTTTACCTTTGTAGATGACTCCTTTTGCGGCGAGGGGAAACTGGTGAGCCGCATTCCACTGACTGCCGCTTCGACACCAGATCTTACAGGCAGCACCAGCTCTCATAGGCTGCGACTGTGGTTAGAATGAAGGTTGGATTGTGGTCGCAGTTGGCAGCGTAATCTCAGGGAACGAGCATATGTGTTTTCTTCTGCTAGACGGTTAATGAGTGCGACTTAAAACAGGAACAGATCTTGCACTTACCCAACTCTTTTTGAATGGTGGTACTTATACTATCTCTACTAATTGCATTTTCTCCGTTATCCATCACAGAGACGGGTGGTGAGTTTGCAACAGTATCAGTCACACTCGCTTGATGTTGTCTGTCATTACACTTGTTGAGGAGAACCGTCACGATGTCCTTTTTCTCTGTAAAACGTTTAAACTAGTCGTAAACTCATTTTATGCTCTTTGCGTCTGTTCCGAACACCTGCACCAAAATTACATGCAATCCCGTGACCATTTTATCAGTTCGTAACAAAACTGCATGTTTATTCGTAACAACATTTGACGAGAGTGTACGCACACACGCAGTTCGACTGCTCTAGCAGATTGAACTGCGTCGGTGCTACGTGCCTTCCCTACAGAGGTCGCCCCCTATGCATGCGCGTTGCTGCAGGTGCAGATTGCTTGCGGAATATCCATCCATTCACCGAACTTTTCTGTCGCACTAGTTTTGTCGTCTAGTTCTTTCACGACATAGTATTTAAGCGTATTTTGTTTAAGTGCAGTACATCCAGCGGTTTGCAGGCCACACAGCACAATATGAGGAAAGTCGCTCTCATTTACATACGAAGCTTGTGTCGATTCGTTCGTTATTAATTTTCACGAGGCTAATACATCGACGTCCAAGTCTAATCACTCTTGAGTACGATTGTGCAGTGGCACAAGCTGCTGGATATAACGTGCGCGATACAAGTCTCTCCACACCGATCCGAATCAGGGGCTCTTACTGAAAATTGCATTTATGTTCATAGCTACCAGATTACTGGGAAATAAGTGAAGGGTAAAACACTTCCAGCATTTGTTATGATTGTGAGGAGTATGCAATTTAATTTTTAGTTTGTTATAAGCCGAAGTTGGTGCTACCAACATAATTTTTGTTGCTATAACTCTCACCAGCCACTGGCGCCTCGGCGCAGCACTACAGTGCATTCCCGGCGCACTGTAGAGCTATTGACAAGACGTCGAGAAGGACTCATCACGTCATCGCCTTCTCGAGGGCGAGACGGTTGTCCACGACTTGGTAGGAGGAATAGTGTTGCATAGGCACAGTGGAAAATCTCGGTGGCAACTGCCGCGGAGCTTTGAGAAATGTAGAGGTCGAAGCGTCAGACCACCGTTGCCAAACTCGTATTTGCTGCGACTTGAGCGCCTCTCTTTCACCATATTTGCTCGTGACTACCAATTTTAATATTTTGCATCAGTCTCCAACGCTTTCTGAGGGCTTCAATTATGCAAGAGAGTATGGATGAGCCGTGTTCCTGTAATGATACTGGTACTTTCTGTATTCATACTGGTTTAAACGAAGCGGATGCCATTAGTATTACGCTTTTCACCCGACCTTAATCCAGATATTAGTAGTTTTTAATCTACTTTTTAATTCAAAAATGTATCTTGTGATGAGCGAACTGTTGTCCCATTAGATCCACCGCACCCACCTCACGCTCTTGAACGTCGTCGTTTTTGCCCTTGACCCAGACTGATGTTCTGGCTGCGAAAGCGTGCCTTTTGCTCTCAATTGACTCCATGAGCCCTGACGAACAGACAAAATTGGACATCGTAATTTTCGGTTAGAAATTCATGAACGTGTAACTCAGCGAATTGATACACGCTCTTGCCTTCTTTAAATGCTCGCTGTAGAGTCATGCTCGCGGAGCTACGAAGACTCTCCAAAACTCTGTTGTGACTCTGTAGGCTACACATCTTCGTAAACAGTATGTTGTTTCCGTTCGTATTTCTTTACCTGATCATATCTTTTCATCATCATCATCATCATCATCATCATTATCATTATTATTATTTTAATTATTATTATTAATACCATGCACTATTGTCGTATTTTAAATACTATCTTGACTATTTGAATGATTCCATTAAGCTTACAGTGTTTTATAAACAATTCTTTTTTCGATTTTTCATTCTTTTTAACCCAGGAAGCAGAATAAAATCCCTGGATTATGGATTTCATTAGAAAGTTCCTTGTATTATAAGGTTAATGTTTCGATCGTACAATTACACGATTGATAGTTTCTTATATGCATGGACAATTGTATACTTACTCGTGTGCAGTACACAGGAAAAATATCGATATTCCCAAAGATAAAGAAGAAAACTCCCTACAGATTGCAGAGATTTTAGAGGCCTCGGGGCCCACGAAGATCCCAAAGACCACATGAACTCACTCTGATATCTTCAGGCTTCAGAAACATCAGTGTCTTTGGGATATTTGATACCTTAGAAGTCACAGAAATCTAGGGGACCTACCTAAGATAACTCAAAAACAGCGGACACCTTCGTATTACGGGGCAATTACGAACTCCGGATTTTCTGAGGCAACTGAAGGCCTCGGCAACCCTGGATATCCCCGGTGACGGGAACCTTCAGATAACACAGAGACCAAGAGGACAATTTGGAAACCCTAGATCCAAAGACCCCAGAGCCAGCGTAGACCTCTGAGAAACTGAGGAACTGAAGAGATCTGTGATTCAGAGATCCAGATCCCCTAGAAACACCACAACCTTCGTGAAGTCCCTTCGCCGAGCATCGATACGCCGCGCGCATCGCTCACTCACCGATAAGGTCGATGACCACGATGGGGTCCTCCGCATACTTCTTGGTTTTCTTGAAGTTGAAGTCGGACTCGTTGAGGAGGAAGGCGGCGACGTACGGCGTGAAGATCGCCGTGTAGATGACGAGTAACAAAATGATCCAATCCCACGCCGCCTTGAAGGGGCTGTAGTGTAGGATGGTCCACTTGTGAATGCGCGGGGACTGCAGCTTGTATTCGGGCAGCACGTCGGCGCCCAGAGACAGCACCTGCGGAGGGCGTGCGCGCGGGTGAGGCTCCCGCAGGGTCGTCGTGGGGGCAGGCAGTGTGCGGAACGGGCG